TGGGTTGAGCCTAGGCATGCAAAATCAGTCCCCCCCCAAAACATGCTCACTGGTTATGGACCCCCTAAAGTTGGGCATACAAAGTTCGACTTTCTCTGGAGTCGACAGCCTATCAGCTATGCACGTTCCTTCCGTTTTGTTAAAGGCAAGGTGTGCCAGAGAATGATTTAGGCCTAAGCGTTTGTCTGAGTGTTGGACCTAGGCCTACAAAGTGAGACCCCCTGGAATGAGCCCCCAGGGCACTTACCCCCAAAGTTGGACAGCTATTTCCTTTCTCTCCTGCTTCCCTGAATGAAGAAAATGTATGAGAGTGGTATTAGCCTAAGCATCCCTCGATGGGTCGGGCCTAAGCTTGCAAAATTATTCCCCCCTTCCCCAAAGCATGCCCCCTGGGCATGGACCCCCAAAGTTGTGCATTCAATGTAATGCTGTCGACTCCAGAGAAAGTCTATCAGCTATGTACGTTCCTTCCGTTTTGTTGAAGGCAAGGTGTGCCAGAGAATGGTTTAGGCCTAAGCTTCTGTCTGAGGGTTGGACCTAGGCTTACAAAGTGAGACCCCCTGGAATGAGCCCCCAGGGCACTTACCCCCAAAGTTGGAATTTTTCTGGAGTCAGCAATCTAACAGCTATTCGTGTACCAAGTTTCATCCTATTATCATGTCTAGAACATGGTTAGAATTAGCGTCAGTCAGTCAGTCACCATCGTCTATATATATTAGATGCGATAATAGAGGCTTCCAGGTACCATAATAAAGTTTGCAGCGAAATGCAACAGGACGTCTCCGAAAACCCCCTCGCACAAAAAAATAATTCGCATCGCCCCTGAGGAATTTGCGCGGATGATTGAATGGTTGCCTGAATTTGCCTCTTGAATTGTTCGTGCAAAAAAAAAAAATCCTACGCGGTCTGTCAGTCGCCAGGATTCAGTTCCGCGGACATCACGGTTAACGCTCAAGTCCGTATTTTGGGAACGCTGCGTAAGTAGAGCCGCAGATGCGGACGGTGCTCGTTCCGAGCCTGATTGCATTCTCTCTGATTTTTGCCAAAAATTTTGCCAAATTGCTCTAACTGTGCCGATCGGACTAAGCAGAGAGAGAAATGAGGTGCTCTCTAATTTACCTGAAGAGAATTTAAATTTAACGCTAGGGAATCCTGAAAATAGTGTCTTAAATTGTTGCTTCTTCTAGAATGTTACTTATATATTTAAATAAATAACATCGTAGTAAATTATAAATGAGCATATTTACTTCTATTCCATTCCCGAAGAAACGGCAATTCCCCTCGCCTCTTCTGGTCCCTCCTGGCCAGCCCGCGGGAATCCCGGAGGGGAACGGTCCCCCTCCCCCCGTTCGGGTCCTGCAGCACTGCGCCGACGGGGCTGGAAGCCAGCTCTAGCCCGCGTGTCGAGGGGTGGTCCGAGCGATCTTTCTCGCGGTTCCCCTTCTGGAAGGGATGGAAGAGAGTATCGATGATGTTGTGGTATGGAGTCGACGACGTGACCAATGATGCAAATAGCGAATGTCATCTGCTGCACTCGTACCACGGTGCATCCGTTTCCGACGCTCTCGACGTCGTCCCCCCTCCCGAACGGCAAGAGGCAGCGAATGCTCAGAGAACACGAGAGCCGTGCAGCCTGCCGGGCGACTCGATGCAAGGAACGCAGCACTCTCGAAAGCCAGGGAATCGAACTCGGACCTCCTGCTTGCCGGTCGGGTGTGCTACCGTTACGCCTACGGGATGTCATGCCCCTCCGGCTCTATCGCTGCGGTCGCTCGACGCAGCGGGTCGGGCTCTACATTTTGTTGCATGGTTTTCACATTGCCGGCACGACGGAAAAATGCTCCTGCTGCAACTCGCACCTGACACAATACCCTGAGGCTTCGAGAGTATCGTTCGCTGGGGCTAATGTGGCCGCGAGGCATTTTCAGGAATTCGTCCTGAAAATATGAAATTACCATTGAAATTACCTGAAATTAGTCCTGAAATTACCATTGTACCGCGCATGCACTAACTTCTCTCTGTGCCGTCGACCAAGTTCTTGGAAACGGTCCGTACTGTTTCGGAATCATTGGTGTCCGTACCATACGCTAACGCTAATTGCCCATGAGCTAATCGGTGATGCAAGAGTATTGAATGTGCTAGGAAGACGAAATCAGCTGAGTCGCCTTGAGCCTCATGAAAACGTGCTAAACCGAGGCGTTCACAATGGCGATTGTGGCAATCAAGCTCGAATGATCGTGATGATGGTGTTTAGGAACAAAATCTCTCTCTTTGTACCGTAAGCTGTATGTGTATAAATGTAATGAAGCGGTTCAGTTCCGAATGGTTTAATGCGATGAACAGAGGATTGTCAAGGAGACGTTATGCTCACAACAGACGATTCGGATTTCCTTTTCTTCCTCGAATGTTTCATCTGACATTCTTTTTTGATTGGAGAGAGAAGAGCTGAGATTTACCTTCGAATGGCGATTGACCTACAAATGGTGATTGACCTACAAATGGTAGGTCAATCGAAAATATCGCCAGCAGTAAAGTCACGGATGTGAGCGCCTCCAGGGAATCAATAGCGAAAAAAAAACATTAATTGGCGAGTCCCGAAATAATCAAGCTGTCTTCCTGGAAGAGACTGGTTTCCTTTTCCTCCGTGTCTTCAGGAAAACCAGAAACAATCTTACGCGTTTCGAGAGGCATATACGCTTTTCCCGCCTCAACTGCCACCAAGAAGATAAACTCCAGGAAAACTGCAACGAAGATGAAGGCCGAGGCCCGAACAGAAAAAGCATTTCCAAGCTCGCGGCCTCGATTTTCCCACCGAAAACAAAAACGCCCGCCGATCACGCCCTCTTCGAATCTGAGGGAAACTCGAACGAATGGATTTCTGCTGCCGTTGGAGGAGTTAGGGACTGGACGGCCTGGGATCCCAAGGCAAGGTAGGGGGAACGGGACCCTGAGGTCTCTCACTGAGACCTGTGAGCACCGGTCATCTCACTGAGACCTGTGAGCACCGGTCATCTCACTGATTCTGCGGGGGAGCTTCTTCGTTCAAATAACTGAGATGGGTGCTGCATCCTTAGTCGAGACAAATGTCGGCTGTCGCCCTAACGCCAATGTGGGGCCAACACGGGCAGCCCGCTGCGATGTCGGCCCACTTTTCCCAACTCGGGGCCAATGTGGGGCCAATGTATCGTGCTGCCGGGGTAGCAGCAGATCTGCGCCGCAGAGCACTTTAAACTTTCTCGCGTTTTCGGGGCATTTTGAGGGCAGATACAGCAGAAGAATCGTCTTCGCGCTTGCTCCCTGCCTTTCACTGCTGGACTCAGAAGCGAACGAGCGAGTCTCTCGCGATCGACAGAAGCAACAGGCGCTTCCTTTCGGCAGTCCCGAAATAATCAAGCTGTCTTCCTGGAAGAGACTGGTTTCCTTTTCCTCCGTGTCTTCAGGAAAACCAGAAACAATCTTACGCGTTTCGAGAGGCATATACGCTTTTCCCGCCTCAACTGCCACAAGAAGATAAACTCCAGGAAAACTGCAACGAAGATGAAGGCCGAGGCCCGAACAGAAAAAGCATTTCCAAGCTCACGGCCTCGATTTTCCCACCGAAAACCCAACGCCCGCCGATCACGTCCTCTTCGAATCTGAGGGAAACTCGAACGAATGGATTTCTGCTCCCGTTGGAGGAGTTAGGGACTGGACGGCCTGGGATCCCAAGGCAAGGTAGGGGGAACGGGACCCTGAGGTCTCTCACTGAGACCTGTGAGCACCGGTCATCTCACTGATTCTGCGGGGGAGCTTTTTTGTTCAAATAACTGAGATGGGTGCTGCATCCTTAGTCGAGACAAATGTCGGCTGCCGCCCTAACGACAATGTGGGGCCAACACGGGCAGCCCGCTGCGATGTTGGCCCACTTTTCCCAACTCGGGGCCAATGTGGGGCCAATGTATCGTGCTGCCGGGGTAGCAGCAGATCTGCGCCGCAGAGCACTTTAAACTTTCTCGCGTTTTCGGCCGTAAAACTCCCGTCTATGTCGTCTTCTTAGCAGAAGCGCGAACGAGGGACGGAAAGTGACGACCTGAGTCTTCGCTTGCTCGCTCAGAGAGCGCTAGCTGTCTTCGTTGTCCGCGAAGGAAAGCCGGGCAGAAACTTCCAACACGATCATCTCGGGATCATCTTGGGATCATCTCGGGATCCCGTGAACTCCCATCGCCACGATTCTGCCGTGTCGAATCCTCGATTCCCAGTAGATGGCGCAGTCGTCGCGGGGAAAAAGCGTTTTAGTAATTTTTTTTTAAATAAAATTTTAAAAACATCGATGGAAACATAATCAAACAAGTATAATGGAACGAGTCCGATTTCTCGCTCTCGGGAGAGTTGCAGAGGGAAGCAGACTGAGAATTTCTCAGAGGAATTTCCAGTTGAGGAAAAAAAAAAAATTTTTTTTTTGCATGCTGAGGTCGTTAGACTCGAAATAAGGATGCAACGGCTGAATTTCCCAATTATTTATTATCCGTGCATGTCAGGCACGAGTACAAAAAAAAAGGACTGAAAATAAATATCATGAGCGATTTGCAACCGAATTCGCGCGGCCTTGTGCTCGATGGGCGGAGCTGCGGATCCACCTGGGTCGGAGCGTGTCGACTGGCGGAGTCGCCTCGTTGTGAGAATGAACATTTAAAAAAAATTTCAGTTTTCAAATCTGAAATCCGTGAAAAAAATTTTTTTGTTTAAATGTAATCATTTGTAAAGAGTACAGAGTTTCCCGGCCCGGCACCGTCCGCAGCGCCCTCACGGAACTCCCAATGAGTCAAACGCGGCGTGAAAAAAAAAAAAATCCGCGAGCGTTTCGGATTCCTGCGGTCACCGCGCACGCGGCTCCGAGCGAATTCGCGCGCAAATCGCTAGATGGGATTCTAGGCCGGCGTCCTCTTCTACAAGGGCGAGCTCAGGTGGTACGCTTGCCTGGCGCTCATCTACTACCTCCACTTCGGCATCTCCCACCGCCACTACCGGGTCTGGCTCTCGCAGCGCAGGTGCAAGCCGTTGGCGTCCGCCGTCACGTCCCCCAGCCTCGGGTTGAATTTTATGTGGACCTGGTTCACAGATTAAATATTACTCGAGGGAAATAGTGCTTGACCTCTTGGAGATATTACTTGCTCTTGGAGGGAAATTGCAATTTAGGGTAATTAATTGCAATTTGGAGGGAATTAATTAAAATTTGGTGGGAATTATTTTACTTTGGGGTGAACTATTTTCGCCTCGAAAATAATTGCACTACTTCAGTTTCACGGCGAACAGTTCCTCGATTTCCCTCGATTTTCCTCGAAGAAGAATGAAGCGTGCGCTCACTCTATTTGGGTCATAGGCCGTCCCCTGAAATATGCAGTTGAACTCGGTTACCGCCTCCACCCTGACGGAGAGGCGGTACCTCTCGTCGGGGGTGAGGCCGGAGGCGACCACGTGGGCCGTGAGGTTGGCGAGGTAGTTCGGCTGCGTGAACGTCACGACGACGTTGGCGGTGGCCGTGGACAGCACGGAGACCGCCTGGACCCCCGACTTCGCCAGTCCTGGAACAAATAAATCACACCAGTCCTGGAACAAATAATTCACACCAGTCCTGGAACAAATAAATCACACCAGTCCTGGAACAAATAAATCACACCAGTCCTGGAACAAATAAATCACACCAGTCCTGGAAAATGGAAGTCACACCAGTCCTGGAACAAATGAATCACACCAGTCGTAAAAACACAAGTCACACCAGTCCTGGAAAACGCTAATCATACCATTCCTGGAGAAATATGGAAACCGATCGGTTTATTGAGAAATTGGTCGACTATTCAAATAAATAAAAAAAAAGGCACGGAACGACTTCATGGTATTTTCTTGCACAATGAAGCTTGCAGGCGAAATTGAGAATGATTTCATTCCGATTCAATCCACCCCAAATTCGATTTCCAATTCACTCCTGCTTTAAATTCCGCGTTGAAAGTTCCCCAAGGTTCACCGAACCACTCGATGCCCCATTGACACGATGGAGAAGTGCATGGATCATGGCGAAGATTAGGGAATTCGGTCGAGCACTTGCGAATTCCGACCCGATGCCGCGAGAGGCTCGAAGAGGTGCCAAGACTTTTATTCGTGTCGCAAAATTGTTCCTTTCCTTTTTGATTATTGTGGGACGAAGAGACTTTGAAAGCCTGCTTCGATTGCAAGAAAATCTTGGACTCATTCCAATTTCCTTTTTTTTTTTTAATTACGCAGCACTAATTCAGGGATGCCAACTACTTCTAATTGCTATGACTTAATAGCTTCCTTTTAAAGGAACGATTATGCTTACCCTTCTCGAAAGGATAAGCATCATCTGCCTTCTGCTTTCTGCTATCGCGACTAAAAATATGAGTGTTCACATCCGAAACAAAAAAATTAGAAGCAACCAGAAATACTTTTTTCCTGCTTAATCCTTTGAATTTCAGGAATTCAAACAGCAAGCACTGATTCGCATCATATCCTCTGATCGGAGGCATGATGTGCTCTCACCGGGGAACAGGCCGAGAAGATAGTAGGAGAATTGCCGCTTCTCCCGCCGCAACTCCCCGTCCTGGAGCGCACAGGCGAGCAGCCCCAGCGCGACCACGAGCAACACCCTTGGCTTCAAGTGCTCTCACCGGGGAACAGGCCGAGAAGATAGTAGGAGAATTGCCGCTTCTCCCGCCGCAACTCCCCGTCCTGGAGCGCACAGGCGAGCAGCCCCAGCGCGACCACGAGCAACACCCTTGGCTTCATCTGTGCTTGCGACCGCCGACGACTGAAGAATGGACGTCCACCGAGGGCTGGATGTCGGGCAGTGGGGCGGCCTCCTTCTCGCCGACGCTTTAAACGGGCGGTGGATGCATATCGGGATCCATGCATGAGGCGACGCTTCCTACGATACTGGCCGATCGAGGAATCAGACCTGAGACCCCAGGAAGATCTCCAGGTAAATTCGTCGCTCCCTTATAACTTCCGTATAACTCCCTTTCACCTCTGATCCGCCTTAATTTCCCGATCAGTTGGAAATGCAAAAGTCGGACGTGGCCTCTGGAGGTGACTAAGCGAGTTAATCGCAGTCGAAAAGTTACCATTTCCGGGAAAAGAGGCTCCCTCGGAACCGTATCTCAGATGGCCGTTTCCTAGATCAGCCTATCTCAGATGGCCGTTTCTCAGGCTATCTTTCCAAGTTTATCCGTCGCGCGTGGACGCGAATCGCCGACCCGAGTTCGACTTTCTTATCTCCGCATTTGACTTTGAGAAAACTCGCGTCCGACAATGAAAACCCGCCGTATCCGATTGCCTACTTCCGGAGATCCGGAAGATGCAACGTGCGATGCCATGACACAATTTTTCGCCGTGGTTTTCCGATGATCTGGATAAGTACAAAGGTACTGCTCAAGAAGCACTGAGAGGTACTCAGAAGAACGCGAGTGGTTCCAGTCAGCCGAAAGGAGCGAGCCACCCACAAAAGCAAACAGGCAAAATATACAATGAAGTTTCCAAGAACCACTCGTCTCTTATGGAATATGGTTCAGTACATTCAGTACATTTTCTTCTCCTTGAGGATTTTACTTTGAGAAATTCCAGTTTTGCCCCCAAGCATAACAAATTTTCGTACTAGTGGTGGGAAATATTCTTGGTCGATTAATGTCACCAGTGGATGATGCGAGGGTGAAATAATGGTTTTTCCTGGGAAGAATACTTCCCACTGCCCACATAAGGGTTAACATAAATGGATGGAAGAAAAAAATCCCCGAAGCCGAGACAATACAGAGTCAAGACTCTGTCTGGTATTCAAAGGTAATGTATTGCTTTTCACGTAACTAGTTACACTTTCCAGGAATGATTACATTTCATTTTATGATAATAAAAGTTACAGCTATGAGCAGCTAGATATTATTCTATCGACTACTTGTGAAAAAAAAAGATCAAGTGCTTCCACGTACAATTTTTTTTTTTCACTGAGCCAAGTGGCATTTACACACCACATTCCTCAGTGGTTTAATTTTGGACATTGATCATATCTTCCATAGTGCAGTCATCTTTACACACAGCTCAATCCAGAAGAAAATGAATGATAGAATGTAAGGCAATGATCCTTCTGTTTAGACAGCATAATCGTTTTATTTATTGACATTATTGGAAACTTAAGCTAATTTTTAAAACTCTGTCGTTTGTAACTCGTTTTTATTTACTTAAAAATTAGTAATCCCTGCAAATGTGCGAAAAACAAGTAATGTCACCAACTCCCATGAAGGACTACATGCCTTTTATTGAGTTCAGAATCAAAATGAGGTCACAACAGTGGAACACAAAACAATGATGGGAGATAGAAACCGATACAAGACAGAGATCATACACCACCTCGACCATGGTGACACTCAGGGGGAAATAATGGGGGAGGTATTAGCGCGCGCTACAATTCAATTCCATCCGGCACCTGGGGAAGAAAAAAATAACCAGTACAATAGTAGTAATTTCTAAATATCTATACATATATTTACACTAATGTGTGTTTATAAGCCGCGTTGCGACGTCATACAATTATTTACTATTTTGAATAGAAGCTAAATTGAAAATCACAATCTCTTCTTCCAAATTTTAAAATTAATAAAACTTAATGTGTTCCTCAATAAAAATCAAAATAAATTTCAGTTGCTACTGTTCTATGGTTGAGTTCAAAATATTTTACTTAAGACCATATATCTTCAGGATATTCAGTATTTGTGGTAAAATCTGCACTACATTGTCATTTCACACAATTTGTACAGGGCTCTGCAAATGAATACATAATGGCCTATAGGTCCACAAGGAAGTCACCTGTCAACAGTTACCATACTCCAAATTGACAGAAAATCCATGTTGCAAGTGTGGAGTCCAAATGAGTGTGGAAGTGTCCACTTCTTAAAGGGGAAGAGCACCTTTTTTTCAACAACTCATGCAAAACCTATGAGTCATAATGCACGAAACGAACTTCTGCAGTGCAGAAACAGAGAGGAAAGGATTGGTTCCACCCTACCTCCTTTCTAAAAGTTCTCAATCCCTTCCCACTTATCCATGCTTTCTATGAGGAACTCCTGCTATAGCACATTGGGTCCAGACCATACAGCAAAACTGAACAAACCATTCCAAAGGTACAGCAAGGTATTAGTATCCAAAAACCCTACCTTTAAAATAGATTTCAGGAGCTTGTTTTGTGCATATAAATTACACAGGTATATATTGCATGTCATTTGCAATGAATTCTGCCAATTCTACTTGCCCATAATTTAACCATTACATTTCTGGTCTGCACGGATAATTTCAACTAGCCCTAACAGGACTGAAGCCCCAACAAGACTGACTGTCATACTTCTTACTTTGTCTCTTTACCTGCACGACATCACCACAACTTTCTGTCCTGTACCTTACTCATGAAATATATGATTTCTTAAAATATAGATTCGGCTTCAATGTATCTATATCCCAAGGTCCACTTTAAGAAAAAGTGAACCCCTCAACCCAAGGATTCCAGATCCATAGCCTCAAATTTCCATAAGAGTAGGAATAACTTTTGGAGAAAACAATTTTTTTTTTAAATAAACATCTGAAAGGCACTGGTTTCTTTTGTAAAATAAAATTAAAAAAATGACCAACTACAATTAAGCCCTCAGGCAGCCCTTGTATTAGCCCTCATGCAAAATGAGATGTAAAGTGAAAGGCAATGAGAATGTCTCACCAGCATAGGCCTGGACTGGTGGGGCAGTTGGGGAATACCCAGTTCTAGCATCATAGCCTGATGGTGGAGCTCCAGGAGTTGGGGTTGTTGTGTATCCTGCATCAATGATAAGAAATTTCATGTCAGCTGGTCATAAATAGAAGATTAACTACACCAAACTCTAAGCTAATCTGATTTCATAATGGGCATTATATGGGAGGATGATTATCTTCAAATTAATTCTCATGTTAGGCCCTTATGAAGTCAGATTTGTTCAATTTCAACTGAACTGTTCATGTCATTCAATGAGTTCCATATTAGGAACCATTAAGAAAAAAATTAATTATGTCATCTTCATAGCTACTACACTTCCAAAGGTGGCTTTAATCAGGAAGGAGGAAAAAGTAATGGGATGAAGTAATCACTGCAACAGGATATCCAATATCTAGAGATAATTTATACATATAAACTAATATAGTAGTCCCCATTCCTACATAGACTTTCATAATGCATGTTTGCAGGTCTGACATGCTGGACTAAGTTCAGCAAGCTGAATCCAATTCTAAGCCTTCTTCCAGTGAGACTATTGAACGAGCAAACGAGGAATACAAGGGAGGCAAAGACAATCCAGAGGGGATGGGTCGCTGAATGATAAAGGATCAATGAAAGGAAACCCATCTATGATAGGGAAGCACAGACATGAAGAGAAAGTTGAATGGAGCAGGGACAGATGAAACAGTAAAGATTGGCATAAGGGAGAAGAATCTGGTGGAAAAGGATCAGTGATGCCCAACTGCACCTCCTCCCAGGCACATTCCTGCAGGTAAGTTGGGAATGTTTCCTTTTGATCCAGAAGGACTTCTCCAGACAGAATCTCAACTTAAACCACATCCATAGACCTGATTAAGTCTAATGTCAATACAGTCAACAGACATACCTTTTGGTACAACTAACTGAACCATTTTAAACACTTGCGTTCCAGCATTTTAAATCTCACAGACTAGTGAATTGATCGAACTTTGGATTACTAGAAGGCTTCAGGTAGGATTTTCAATTAAGTGTGCAAGATCTGTCAAGCTGAGACACTTCACCATCAGTTCAGACCCTAACCTCCGGTTTCCTACTCAATGTCTGAAGTTTGAAGACATGCATTTCCCTCAGTCCACCTCTTCATTTTGCATGCCATGGAATGAAAAGGGTGGGGGGGATATTAGAAGAATTCTGTACATGCCTTCATTTCTTAGCGAGTTGACAACTTCCTAGGTCTGGCATCCCTAGCAAAGGATCCTATTGAACCTTGTGGAACTCTCAATCACTCTTGGTCACATGCTTTCCCTCAACTATGTGGGTGGTGGGTAAAAGTTCCTTTTGCCCTCTTGCTGCATTGTTACCCTGTAAATTTTGAGCCTGAAATTTTCAAACCTTCAATCTGTGACTCATTGTTATACCTTTCCGTATTTCAGATATTTGTCAGTTATCCTAACAAAGGTTATTGCTGGAGTTAAAGCATTTCTACTTTTGACCATTACTGTTCAGTCTGTCAGCAAGCTGCTCACATGTCTGCCATGTCTTCCTCAATGGCTCTAAGAACACAAGCCACCATATCCTTGGAGGATGCTTTGACAGGACGACCAGAGCTACTTGCATCATGCATTGATGCACAACCCTCCCTAAACTGACTACCAAAGTCAGACAGCTTGGATAGATGGCCTATAGTCTCCTAGAGCCAAAGTGAGCAGCTCGTGCATTTCAGGGCAGGACTTTTCCAGTAGCAAGTAGAATTTAATGATTGTCCTGATTTCAACCCGACTGAATGACTGTTGTAAAAATGAATGGTCAATAGTAGACATGATTCAACTCGAGCAATAAACTCCATTAGGATAGGTGACAAAAATCTGCAATATGGAAAGATATGAGGCACAGATTGAAGTTTAAAAATTTCAGGCTCAAAATATACAAGGTAACAATACAGCAAGATAGTTAAAGAAACTTTTGGAATGTACTTCATTGAGCTTCTAAAATTTATCCCCATAGAATTCCACAAAGATCCAAGCTTACCAGAGAGTTGAGCCTGCTGCTTCCCATATCCTCCATCAGTGTATGGGTTTGGGACAGGTTGTGGAGGTGGAACACCCACAGGAGCACCTCCATAGCCATCAACAGCTCCACCACCTGCAGTTGGTGGGGGTGGTGGAGGAGCCCCCATGTTTGGAGGGGGTACCCCTGCATATCCACCAGCTCCATATCCTCCATCGCCTCCGTAGCCTGAATATCCTGATGTATTGTATCCAGATGCACCCGGGTTCCCAGCTCCACCACCATATCCACCATGACTGAAATATACGCCACATTATAAAATGACCTCAGCATCCAGAAAGTGGACCATTCTAGAGAAAACAAGGGGTTAAGATACATACTGAGTCACTATTGGAATAATATAATATTTTGCATTTTTGAGGTCTTTTGCTATAATTTAAATTTTTATGTTTCATACATTGTTTTTTAATTTTATATATATTTACCATACCATATATTATATATAATGCATGCAATTACATGATTGAAGATTACAAAACTGATGGGTAAGAGAAAGTCTCCAATGGAATTGAGCCATGCATAATTCCACCCATTATAGTGCAATATGGGGTGGGACGCAGTCATGAGAATCCCAAGAAATTACCAAAGACGCAATGGAAATGCAATGTCCATTGGAACCGACACTGGGTCTGAAAGGGTTAAGAATGAATCACCACATTGCTCAGCACACCTTGATTTAAATATACCATTACTAAAAACTGCAGTAGTTGTCCTGGTTACAAACCAAAGTTTCAAGTTCCATTGGAGGCTCTGCCACATAAATTTACCAGCTCTTGAAATTTCCATTGCATTTTCCCCATTTGTCAAACACTTCCTAAATCATTCAAATGTTTTCCCATTTAATAGGTTTATAAATTAAATAAGTTCCTCTGCCCCATACTATCCATACAGATCTCTGCTGTATTGAATGAAGTGGTTCACTGAATGACACTGAACTTTCTCATCTACCTGTGGTGATACTTTCACACCCATACATCTGTCTGCAATCTTGCTGTACCTGACATTTCCACTGAACTACGTGAACAACCCTTTTTCTTATTTGCTTTCATTTCACAAGTTCTCCCTAGTCTATTTCATTTTTCCCTCCAGTCTGTCCATATTTTTCCTCCTGTCTCCTTTGTGACTTTTCCACACCTTTCACACAAGTGGTTTTTGAGGCATACTGCATCTGTGCCTCCTAATTGTGACACACAAAGTGATGCATCTGTTAGTAAGCAGACACTACCCATGAAAGCAGTTGTGTCACCTGTTGGCAGAGAAAGAGCCCACTACCACTTGGACCCAATTTCTTGCCTCCCAGTTTCACTTGGAAGCGAGCCTTGTGTCCTGGAAATGTTAGTTTCCTATGTAATAATAAATTTACTGATCCATGGTGTCTATTAACATTTTTTGATGTAGATGGAAGCTTTGACTGACAGGAGGTCCCCCCCCCCCCCCAAGTAAAGGCATACAGGTGCCAGATTTAGAAAGGAGTTGAATTGAACATCTAAAAAAATTTAAATTTTCACACAAGTATGGAAGCAAGTAAGCATTTTCATGCAAGTAAGCCACATATTAAAAAAAAAGAAAGCACACTAACAAAAGGTACAATAAAGTAATAGCTTAAGGAAAGGTACAGTTGACTCTTGTTATAACGAAGTCAATAAAGCCCCCAGAATTATTTCAATATATTGGGTTTTAGTTGTTGAGGCAAAGGCAATGGATAAAGTGGTCAGCGCAAACACTAAATGGCTTCATTCTCTCACATGGCTCATGTTCACATCTCCCCATGCACAAATTCACCCACATTTACACTGTACAGATGGAGCACTGAGGTCAAGTGCTGGCTGGAGATGAGAAATGACGCTGCTGCATTTCCATCTAGTGGGAAATTGGATTTCCTACTAGATGGTGGAAAAATTCATTATATCCAATGCCATTCCTGCCTGGGAATACCAAATTACTTTTGTTGCAGCTGAAACTTCAATATATCCAATTTTTTTCATACTTGAATTTTCTTTTAGCATGGATATCCATAAGTAATAGCTTAAGGAAAGGTACAGTTGACTCTTGTTATAACGAAGTCAATAAAGCCCCCAGAATTATTTCAATATATTGGGTTTTAGTTGTTGAGGCAAAGGCAATGGATAAAGTGGTCAGCGCAAGCACAAAACGGCTTCATTCTCTCACATGGCTCATGTTCACATCTCCCCACCTTTTTAAGTAATATAGGTTACGGTAAGGACGGACCCTTATGGTTTAATGAAAACAACGTCGACTTTGAAGTTATATAGGTTAAAAAAAGTATGAACTTAAAAGAAAATCGTACCTATAGGTAGGAAATTCAACTGGGCAAAGTCAAGGATTTTAGCAAAATTGATTTTTTTAAATATACACATACATTGTACCAAGAGTCAACTGTATCTCCTAAATTACTGGGCAAGAGTAGACAGGGTGACTTACGGTCCTCCATAGGAGTCACCACCTCCAGCCTGAAAATTACCAGACTGATAACCAGGATTTCCAAAGCCACCACCGCCACCCTGCTCAAAGGAATTGTAGCCGGGTCTTCCCCCTGGGCCTCTGTAATAAAATGACCACCATTCATTAAATTTAAAAAATTCATTTCTGCAGAAGTATATATAATCCAAGGTGTAAAGAAACACACTTAAGAACAACTAACAAAAAATTGGCCATACAAGATACAATTAAAAATCCAGTTAAGGATGACTGCATCTTCCTACCAAGTTGCTTCTTGAATGCTTGGCATACTCCAACATCCAGATTAAATTACCACAAACCCTAATAACACATGAAAAAAGCTTTGTTCAAATTTTCGGAACAAGGTAATGGCTAACCATCACAATTCATGTGGTAAAATACCATAAACAGTTTTTTTTAATCTCATGTACAGCAAACTCCATTATTGCCAAGCAGCATTTCTTGCACCATTTTAAAATTTCACAGTGCAGTAGTGGCCACTTTCTCAACTAAAATCAAGATTTATTTTAAAAGGAAAATGTTCCATGTTTAACTTAGTCAATAGGGATTAACGTGTATTCTTACCTCCTGGTTTAAATTTATCCTCTTCCGTATTCTCCCTTGTCACACATTGTCACTGATTAGTGATAGTATTCTTTTTCTTCAGGACTACAGACCACTCTTCACGTATATTTTGTACAGGGTGTCCCATGAGTCTGGAACCATTGGGTAAAATAAGTGCTGCACACATGTGGGAGCGCATCAGACATGTGTAATACTGTCACTCCTAACTAGAGATCGACCGATATATCGGTTGCAGATATAAATCGGCCGATATGTGCATACTGGTGAGTATTCACATCGGCTCTTTCATGCATTCCGATTTTGGCCGATATCAATAATACAGTTCCGTATAATCTTCCAGTGCAAGAAAATATTACTAGGACTAGCTCTTGCGCTTCTAAATTGAAACCTTGGCTTATGTGTTCTGGCCAATATGGCATCATCAAGAGGCAAGGAGTCTTTTGCTCTGCATCCGTTCTTATTCTCATACATAGAAGTTAGGCGTATTCATGGCTACGGAATAATTCAACGGCTAAAACGATAGACCTTCGCCCTAAGGGTTAGGTTTTGCTGATGATTGTTCGAAAATACGAGGGCTGTTCATTTAATTCGCAGACACGGGGAGGGGAACACCTGCCGTTTCCTGACCCTGTCCAAGGACTAAAACGATAGACCTTCGCCCTAAGGGTTAGGTTTTGCTGATGATTGTTCGAAAATACGAGGGCTGTTCATTTAATTCGCAGACACGGGGAGGGGAACACCTGCCGTTTCCTGACCCTGTCCAAGGATTAAGCTCTCATATATAATTTTTGGCCTGCTGCCTTACGTTACATTCAATTTAACCATAAAATGTAGGCTAAAACATTGTGTGAGCGTAGGCCTAAACTTGTCCTAAAGACCCTCCCCTGTTCAACGAGAGAACCATTCTCTTTTGCGACACAGACATCGATACGGTCGGTCTCAGCCGTTGAGAAAAAGTGACCAAGCACACTTTCTAAAATTTTACCTGTCACTTACCCAATTCGTTAAGTAACCAGTTCCAGAGTGTCTCAGACACAGTTCTGTTCTCCGTGTCAAATAAGTAAACGGGGAAAAACTGGACTGGAAGGGGGGACGAGTTGGAATGGCAATCTCCCTACACCAAAATTCGTGGAAATTTTTTTGAGTGGATAAAGATTCTAATAAACTGTTCTTTGTCATGTAAATGTTAGCTTGAGTTCATTAGTTGCCAATGTGAGAAATGAAAGGAAGGAAGGGAGGAAGACACGGAAATTTAAAAGCAGACTGCAAGCCAACTAAGTAGAAAGCAAGTCCCTGATCCATCACCGATACTGCAACTGCAACAGTCAGCACTGCATGTTCAGCAGGCAGAAAAAGTGGCACCCCTCTCATCCCAGGTGTATAAAAACTAACAAGTTCCTCCTCAATAAAATAGAATTCATGACCTTTGGTTGAGAACAATGGACAAAGAAGCTAATTCCTGAATCACAACCAAGGTATGCTCAAGAATTCCTCTTGGAGGATTTCATGAAATATTCCATGAAAGGGAGATCAGGAAAATGCCGAAAAGTTACTCTTCATTGGGGAAAATTTGAAGTAAATGAAGCAGTGCTGATGAATTTTTAATATGCTGAAATATCAGCAAATACCATATCGGCTTCATAAATCGGCCAATAACAGAATCGGCAAAATCTGTAAAATCCAGTATCGGTCAATGTCTACTCCTAACACCATTTGAAGTGTGACTGCTGACTGAATACCTTGTTTGCATTTGTGTATCAATCATAATGGTGGACACATTGAACACATTTTGTGAATACAAGCCGTTATCATTTTGCCCTATGGTTCCAGACTTATAGGACAACCTGTAGAATGTGGAAGTGGTTGAATATAAGAACAGGAAATGGAGCCCAATCTCACTACCAGTGGTAAAGTAGCACCTGTAATAAGGACATCTCCATAACACTTTGTAAACAAGGCATTACTAATGTAACAATGAGCTTTAATGTGATACCAGTCCATTAGTAATGGATCCTTTCCTCATCAAAAATGGCAAGACCAACCTCATAAATGACAATGCAAGTAACTAAAGGCAGTCACACAAATGATGCATTTTCAATTTCAGTGACATCCCAAGTAGACTTAATGAAAACAAAAATATGCTATTCAACTGTGAGTAATAAATAGGGAGGAGAGATTTGCCTACCCTCCACCACCATAGGGGGCCTTGGCAGGTGGGCCACCTTCATCAACAGGATCCCACCTGGGTCGCTTCCCTTGCATGCCGCCACCAGCTCCGAAACGTCCATCACGATCCCTACAAACAAAGTCAATCAGCCTCAATGTCCTTATATGAACAAGAATACTAGGAATAACATGAAAACCAAAAAAAAAAACAAGCTTCTGATCCAATAGCCCAAAATATGAAAATTAGTTTCAGCTAAATAATTTGCAAATCATGAATCAAGGATAATAATTAGTTACATTGGAGACATTCCTACAAGGGGACTTTCAGCAATGGTTTCAAGACTTCACATAGTAGAGTATGGAAATAAGATGCTTCCATGATTTCAAAAAACCTCATATTCCATGTTTTGGATTCAGAATAAAATGGGCATGAGTTTCATTTCAAACATTTATCTTTAAATCTGTTCAAGTGGCTGATGCGTTCCTTCTGCTCTTCAACAGTGAATCAACGTCAAAACTTTCCACGACTATCTCCAGAACATTCTTCCCCAAAATATTCAAAAGTGCATACTACAAATTGACAAGGTATGGAGCAAAGGCTCATCGATGAAGCAAGAACCTTATGTCTGGATATCAACTTGGACATATGGACAAAACCATTTCTCCATAAATTTTATATAAAAACTTAGCAGTTAACACATGTTGTGGTGCCACCTCTGGAGGCACTACTTAATGGCAAGTTTTGAACAACTGTTCATTGGCAAAAGGAAAGATGCTGACTTGCAGATAAGATTCACATTCAATGTGCCTGCTGAAGATATTTAAACTCACGAGGGTCTATCCATGCCACCACCTCTGCCACCCCGGAAATCTCCCCCACCACGTCCCCCACGGAAATCCCCACCGCCTCGACCACCACGGAAGTCCCCACCGCCACGACCACCACGGAAGTCTCCACCGCCCCGACCACCACGGAAGTCTCCTCCACCACGGCCACCTCTGAAATCTCCACCGCGTCCTCCTCTGAAATCTCCACGACCTCTAGATCCTCCCCGATCTATATTGGAATATTATTGGTACATCAATATTGATGCACTTCCTACTTGTCATCACCTCAAATCTTTTTACACTTCTACAATATCTGCAATAATTAATTATACTGGTTTTCTTGCTAATTTCATAGTTTAAACTTACTTTCATGCACATTAAATAGCTACATAAACAGGTACACTTAATTAAACTTATTACATTCAGACACTACTACAATCACCTTTGCTCATTTGTCACCCAATTGCTAAATAAAGCTTATTGATATATTTCTCCCTTTGTTAGACATTTACTCAACTTTGCATTGCTTATTTCCATCAAGATGTTTCTTTGTTTCCTATCATTAAACATAGCCAAATGATGACCATGCAGTTTTCTCACCTTATGAGCCCAAAAAATATGGGTAGCTATCATGAAAATTTCATAGTGCAACTACATACCAAAGAATGGCTGAATGAAGAAAAATTACAAATGAGAAACCAGTGTCTCTTAGGTGGATTTTTATTAGTACACCAGACTTTGTCCATTTAAAACATCTTTAGGGCAATATATTTTCTGGGAATTACTTGCCCAGATGGATGACAATATATCAAACTGAATTAACTTCTTATGGTGTGAATGGCATGCTATATTTTAGTCCTATGCAATGAAATGCAACTCACCAAAGCCTCCACGTCCTCCAAATCCTCTGCTGGAGCAAAAAGAACAAAAGCAACAATTTATTAACACCTTCATATTAGAAAATAATTCCTTAATGACATCATGGCTACTGCCCTTCAAGAAAGTCAATAAAAGCTCAAAAGTTTCCCATCATGATAGAAAAGTCAAACTTTTTATGATGAAACCTCAGTTATAACGACAAAGATCGTCTGATCCTAGCATAGAAACCATAAGGAATGTGATAACTGTTAAAGCAAGAACCTTGGCTAAAACTGAGCCCATTCAAGGTCCCATTAACAAAAGTAGCAATGTTGACATCCCTAATTCATCATTTCAAACTGGAATTTCAATCATCTGAAAAATGAGCTTCAGCAAGCCATAACTTCATCTTTTCTGGAGAATCTGCATTCTTTGAGTCATGTGGGTGTGAATTGAGGAGGGTGAGGGTGGGATAGTAACAAAAAAGTAACAGTAACAAAAAAGATCACCTCATCTCCAGCTGACATTTGCATTTTTCAATGACAACATGGAGCAGTGAACACTGAAAGAGGCAATTCTTCATGACTGATGAGAAAATGTACATAATTCATATAGTAAAAACTGAGAAAAGTAAAATTGATATTATTTATGAACATGAGCATCCACGTTCATGTTCGTCTGTTCCCACAATTTGGAAAAATCATGCGAGTTTCATCTATGCTTACGAGTACAAACCACTAAACAAGAAACTTCATCTCCGCTAAAGATGATGTGAACAAAGCCTTGCTAAAGTGGTTTAAGGTCCAAAGAAGTGTGAACATCACAATTAGTGGACCACTGCTGAAAGTGAACCCAGTGTAGGATGACCAATGTACACTAGAGTCATATATAGCATCCACTTTGAAAACAGAAATAGAAAGTCAATAAAGTTAACCTTGGTTATAACAACAATTTCTCCCTGATCCCTACAATGATGTAATAACTGAGTTTGACTACTTTTTTTACATTTTCTGATATAAAATACATTCATGAAATCCCCAGAGACCAAAATTCCATTAAGTTTTATGAATCCCCAAGAAGCCTGTTAAGTACCAATGCCCCATGGGGTCATCCAGTCAGAACACAGGGAAAAAGTGGATGAACTACTGAAGTGAAGTGGCCCATGACTTTCACAAAGTACAGCAATACCACAATAAAAATTGCAAGATGTTCCAAATGGCTCTCATACCTCATGCCCCCACGGCCACGATCGAAACCACCCTCATCGCTACCTCCACGATCAAAGCCTCCCCTCATGAATCCTCTTCCCCTGCAAGCAACAAGAGAACATCTTAATGAGTTTCAGGATAACTCATTGACATAAGGTTGCCATAAAACTTTGACACCCACCTGCCTTCAAATCCTCCTCTGAATCCTCCTCCACCACTGTCAAAGAAATCACAAACATCAATATGCATTCCTCAGTCAGTCGATTGATCCATGACCATTACCACAATGCACAGAACTATGAATTAAAAATGTAACATTTATTTGATTTGAATTAAGTGAGTTAATGATCCAAAATGTGAATATAGAACAGAAGGGACAAGGAGGGACAATAACAATTCAAATTGCTTTAGATGATATTAAATTAAAATTCAAAACAAATTGCACCTTTGAATACTTGAAACTCATTGCAGCATTTCCTTTTCAGAAAAAGGTTCTACAATTTACGTTGCAACATGTGAAACTGCACTTACCGTCCACCATCAAAGCCACCCCGCCCTCTTGGAGGTCCTCCATCCCGATCCCCGCCTCGACCACGGAAACCACCACGGAACCCATCACCACGGCCACGAGGCCCACCACGACCACGGTAGCCTCCCCCATCTTCTCGATCCATGTCAGCCATGATAAGTCAGATGTCTGGTTTTCATATGTAAAGGAGGTCATATTAGTTAAGACTGAACAGCACGAATCCCACTAATGAAATGATGAATGCTATAACAAGATACATATAAAAAATTCATAGGATACTTTGCTTTCCTATACATTAGCTGCTTTTAATAAATGAACTCAATGAATCCTCCAGTTTGAAATAAACTTGTCTAGTCAATGAGAACAGCACATCTCTCTGGATTAACTCATCAGCATCTCATTGGATGCATGGAAAGTTTCATTCCATTTCCATCTCAACTGATCACCATCCAACTCCATTTCAATCAATTGGCTCTTAATTGATAACCAACATGCACAACCTTTTCAAAATCAAGAAATGGAAAATAATGAAGGATGGACTCACGACATACCCTACTCAAAAATACCCTTCTTTTCAGCGTATCTTCACTCAGATGTCAGTCTGCTGCAATGCCTCTCAAGAAAATGTCTTGCTTTGGATTCAAGGTCAATATAAGGTCTTCAAAGCCTCACAAACCAGGCAGTCAGATTTTCTGACTTTACTTAATGATGGGCTCTCCCAAACACTTTCAAATGCCCTCAGTCCTTCCAATAACTCTTTTTGTATGTTTCCTGGGCACTGGAAATCCTCCTAGCTGGCTGCAAAGAATTCATGGGCTTTTTTCTGAACAAACCACAATGTCCTCCAATTATCCATATTTGAGGAAGAACTAAGAATGGGCCATCATTTCCTTAGAGATACATTTCCTTGGTGCAATTTCATAATTCACCTTTCAAGTTTTTCAGTCTCATAAGAATGAGCCATATCTGTCATGACTGACTGCTACATTGGCACACAGAGCTCTAGTGCATTGATCCTCCGTATAATCTATAAAATGCCGGCCCATTCTTCGAATAATCCTAATTCACAATAAACTCATCATGGCCTCCTCAACATGTTATGGGAAAAGAAAGTGTGATCCACAAGACATCCAACACGCATCAAACTAAATAGATGGCTCAAGAAGCCTCCATAAGAGAGTAAAAGCATTTCTGCTTCCTTCTTGGATATTTAGCATTAGGAACATACGATTCTGCTAAACATATCTCAAATGAAAATAGGGTTGCTGATGAAATAATTTTAATTGTGATTAATATACTCATTCTATTAAAAAAATTCAATAAACATCTGACTTGTCAGAACCCATAAGATGCTCAAGAACAAACTAAGGGTCAGGTGAGATCAAACATTAAGGTGATATCTATATGGTGGATCACTTGGAAAATAACAATTTGCAAATTATAGCATTTCAAAGGATGTTCATGAAAATCAATGAGCCGAGCCACACGTGTACAATGCCCTTGTTTCTTCAAAACCTGAATGTTAATCATGAGTGTGCACATGCAGTTTCAGAAAATGCACATTAAATGTTCATGTATTGGCAATAAAATACTACAATTGTCTGCTCTGCACACTAAATGCCTCCATAGAAATCTAATTTAACCTTCACTCAAGTTTTTCAAATCTGCACATGCATTTTGTGTCAAAATATCTGATTGTGACCTGAGGAAATTGAATTGGTAGGTCCTGTGTGATACCAGGAACAGAATTATGTCACCTAGCATTGGACTCTAATGCCCTAAAATGTCATGAATGCAAGATTCTGTTTGGCAGATGACAGTACAGTTCAAATCAAGATCTAAATTCAAATTTACATCAACTGTCATCTCTGATAGTGGGAGACAAATTGTCACATTTTTACATGGTCTTACAATTTCATGAAGGAAAATGACATCAAGATTGTCAGAATGGTGATGAGGTGCACCTCAATGTAGTGCTGTGAACAAAAGGCATGCTTCTCCTCTGCATGACCTTACATTCAGCACAACATTCCATCAACTCAAAAATGTGCAGATATTATCCATTACTACCAGAAAATTAATCAAGGTATAAACAACAAAATGAAGAAAATTACTATCATGAAAAGAGCATGGGGAAATAATGGAAAGTCAGTATAAAGAATCAGCAACCAAAGCCACTTGAAGAAAATCTAAGGCTTCACCTTATATTGGATAAAGCCCAAATTCATTTAACTACATTAATCCTAGCAAATTTATAAATGCCCTTTTTGCATGTTCTGGGGTAAAATCACATTTGAATTGACTATTTTGTCACGAACACACACTCTGTGTCACTGTCTCTTAAATATAAAACAGAAACCAGAATCACATCTCCCAATATTGAGGCATCATTAGCAACAACTTTGGATAATAATTGTACCATCTGAATATGCATAACAAGCCACTCATGACTGAGTCTCTTCCATGACACCACAATATGCTACTACTGCAATGCAAACTGGCTACTAGTAATTTCAAACCACTTGGCTCAAGCCATTTTTGCTCCCAGAAACTCATCTCAGCATTAGTATATGAATACTTTTCACAAGACTACCACTTGGCTTTAAATAAGTTAAAGAAGCAACAAATGGCTCATCAAAGAAGTCATTTAAAAACATTTTAAAGTGTTTCAAAAATTCACTCCAGAACAACAAGGGGATCTATTGTGCCCCTCCAGCAGCCTAACCAAGGGTTGACTTTATTTTTTCACTTTTCATCTCCCCTAGCAAACTCAGGACTGCACAGAATTGTGCTACCGGTTTGAAACAATCTTTAAATGACAGATGCAAAGAGCCACTTCCACATTCAATATCAAATCTAGGCCATGAATGACTCTTCCATTTCTATATGTATCATCATTTTGGAATGCCATTTTATGGGACAATAATTATAAAAACTCATCCAGAAATGAGATCATACATCTCAATCATCAAAATGGAATCCCCTGCAGAACATATTCAATAAGGGTGGTCTTACCATTTTTGTTGGCAATTTTACCAACAAGAAGTAAAATTGGCAGCAAAATAGAATGCCATATGACTACAAGATACCTGGCATGAATCTAACATCCTTGATTTTCTGGCATAGATTGAAGACATATCTTGATTAATTTTTCAATGTAATTCACCCATAATCAATATTAAGTTCAGGAACTCCCCTCAACATCTGCCAGAATTTTTCCAGACTCGCCAAGCAGAAATGGAAAATTTAATGCAAATGGAGCATGATTAAATACAGTCAACTCTCGATAACTCAAAATCAAAATTCTCGATAACTCGAAGTTACTTCAATTCCCTTCTAAAGCCCCATAAGGATACAAATATCGATAGTTAATTGTGAGGCTTCCACACGCCAAACTCGCCTGACTGATTTCTCAAACAAATATGCTAAAATAAGTTAGTGTTGCAAGCTTCATAGAATTGTATTGCATGTACAATATTGTAGGGGTATAGAATCTGAAAACCTCCATAACTCGAATTTCTCGTGCCTCAAGTTATCAAGAGTTGACTCCAGTAGAATGTTATGCTCCAAAAGCAGACAAATACAACATCCTTCATGAGCTCTTAATTTAAAAAAAATGAGCATCCAATAAATTTGATTTTTTTATAGGATTTCTCAAATAAATTAATAATGGAGGAAAAAACTAACTACTTTGAAGGTTTTTGAGTCATCTAAGCTCTCAATAGCCTGAGTTATCCCATTCTGCAATGGTTTAATGACATGTTAGATACATAAGCCTAAATAAAAAAAAGTAATAATTCATGTTCAATGGATAGTCAAGCATTTCCTTCAATTCCTTGCAGCTTTCAAGCGAAACACTACTCAAATTGGTTTTCAAGGTCATAGTCCTTAAAACCTCTTTGGATCAACACCTCATGCTGAAAAATTCTTGGGGAGAGCCCATCACGATGCATGAATGTCTTTCTTTTAGAGCCAGCTTCTAGAAGCCCTGTGATAGAGATACCTGAGCCCAGAGATTTCTTGACTGTTTGTCAATGTACCTGTTGAAAGAACAAGCCACTTCAACAAGCCTTAAAAAGTTTGACTAAAAAATACAGGGACTCATTCATGACAGCAGGCTTCTGGCAGGGCATACCAGGTAAGGCCAAGAAAAGGGCACAATTCATTAAAAATTTGTAATGCCTCTGACACAGCAGCTAGCAAAATAAAGTTTCTTGCATCCCTACATCTATGCATCCTTTAAGCATCACAAAAATGGTTTCCTGTTCATCTGGAGCCATTTCACCCCATGGGTGATAACACAAACATCAGAATTTCATTTTTGCATTCACACCTGGACAATGGTGGGAGGAAAGCCCCATTGACTAAGAACTACAATTCTTTTCAAGGCTTTTTCCCTCTGCACTTCAGAATCCAATGAACTTGTCAACAAACTCTAACTTGTCTGGCAGTTTCCAAAGATCCCACCATGGGATTTTTATCTTGAGAAACAATTACTTCTTCCACATAAAGGCAGTTTCCTTCAGTTTCAGTCTTCTGCTCATGTGGTAAAACAGTTGCGGGAAAATAAACAAGAATTTTAGGCCACTTAAAGGATATATTGAAGTTTTGAAGGAAAAAAAACTTAGCCATGCCATTTATCCAGTCCAAGTATACTTTTCAATTATGATCTAAATATAAATTTATCTGGGTCTAAGTATCAAACCCAAACATCAGTTAACTCAATCATAACAACTTCAATGGTAACTGACGTCACACTAACATAGGCCCTGTCATCAAAGATCGTTCCTTACTAAACTTCAATTATCCAGTGTCTTTCACAAGGACAGTTGCTCCCTTGTATTTTTCTAACTTTACCACCTTGACTGTTTGGAGACACAGTGGAGCAGTTACCATTGGAGACCTAATGTCTTTCTTGTGCAAAAGGATTGGAAGATGGAAAAGAGTTGTGACGGCCCTAGGCCTCATGTAAGGTGTTTTTACTCGCTTGAAAAAACAACAGCTCCTATTAGAATATGGTGACAAGCATATCCAAGCATTGTTCGAAACTGGAAAAGTGAGGAACAAAGCCATTTGGATATCTAATCTTTGTGATGACGAGGCCAGAAATGACTGGATTTGTTGGTGGTAAAGTTAGATGTCACTTACAATCATGATAATGTCACCCTCTATTATTTTGATGATGTATCTGTTACAGAGGTCCTGGAAGACTATTGAGTTATGATGATCGAGCTATTACTTAAACGGGTCTAAGTATGGTTTTCAACCATGATCGAGTTATGAGGATATGTCAATCGTGAACAGTATACTTAGACTGGGTAATTCTATTGAACACCAAAAAACATCACTATTTTTTGCCTCACCTGGTATATACCCTTATATGCCATATAATAGACCCTCCAAAGTCTTGTGTCTTTGATCACTTTTCAATGTATCCACATGTAACATGAATTGTTAATATACCTAGCTGAAAAAAAATTAAGTCTGTGTGACAAATCCACAAACCCACTCCTATACACAACAGGTTGTCTTCAGCAGGACAACATTACTTGAAACAGAAATGAGATTCCTTATTCCATTGTCTGGATGTCTGTGCATCATCATCTACAGTCACCAGGTTTAGTCAACATTAGGGGTTTGTACTCCTTCAAACCTCACAATAATTTGACCACCACTCATAAATGGCATCTTTGCCACTCAACAGTCCTGGACACATCTCAACTAGCAATGAATCCACTGAAATGCATATGGCAAATTCATACTCTCATGAAAGAGCCTAAAAGAGAATAATCTCTGAGATGACCAAGCATCCTCACATATGCTTCACCTCAGAGGACCATCTCAAATACGACACATTCTGAAACATGTTCAAAAGATATGTCCAGCAGATTCCTTTTTTCCCTTAGCATTTTCACTTCTTTTCCTGACAAGAACTGCAGCCATCATTCATTTTTATGCTTGGAAGTCAAATTTCACGAGCATAAATTAGTCGAGGTAATACAGTCTTCCCATAGCACTTAAGACGGCTGTCAAGTGTTTTGAATTAAGAAAATGGCACTGAATTCTACTCTTCCAGAATAATATTTCAAATGGAGACCTTTGAATTCAGAAAATAATTAGCATTGCAGGTTTTATCACACAGACTTCACATCATAGAGACACAATAGATGGCAGAGAGGTGTTTCAATACATACATGAAGAAATTAGCATCCTCCAAGAAAAGTTTCTTTATTGGTCTTCCCCCATAAACACTCCTGCAAAATCTCTACATTTTCAACATCTAATAAGGAATTTTTTTTGCTAGGAGTGTCATGAGAGAGTTCAAATTAGAGGCGTCACAATACTGGGATGTGATCAACATGGCCAATCTGACATTAAAAACAATCCCAAAAATCCCCTTATGGGTACTGATATTAACTCTCAGAATTTCATCATTTTATTCATTGCAAAATTCTGCAAGAGATTAAAAATACTTATTTCCACTAAAAACACTGATCCAATTTCATTTTAAACAAATGAAAATATCCATACAAAAAATTTTCAATTTTCATCTTGGCAAGCCAATTAATGCCAACAACATCCATATGTAACTACTTCGATACCTGATATATCATGACACCTCTAGAACAAATGAAAATCTCAAAGAGTTGTCCATTTCCTACATGATGGACTTTTAAACAAAAAGTTACTAGCACCAAAAAGGGACCAAGCCTGAGAGAGGTTATAGCTCCTGCTCCCAAACAGTCCTGTGACTAATTACTTTCCAATCACTCAGTCTATGGAAGGCACTTCCAAATACTCAGACTGTGAGGGAATTCAGGCTCCATAAAACAAGAAGGCATTGAATGATCCAATTCAAAAGTTTCTGTTGTATGTCTCCCTCTTGATACATCTGGAATGAGATAGTTTTTAGTTAGACATGAGGCATCTCCTTTTCTTATTATCATGAAACCCTATTAAGGGAGAGATTTCAAACAAGAAATTTCAAGTTGGTGAACTTGTCTTACCTCATCCATGACTGTCATGTCACACAAAGCCCATCATTCTTTCATTGAATCAAGCCTCCTTTCCTATGAAGAGCAGCATTTCGAAATTTGATCATGAGAAAGTA